TTGTATTTGTTCACGAACGATAAAGCTCCGGCGAATTACAGTACGAAATGGTCCGATCTTCATCCAGATTCTCAGAAAGTTCTGCTTCAGATTGAGTATGCTTCTCTTTCATCTTTGTTTAATTCGCCTGGATCTGTAGATTCAGTTTCCATTGGTGTATATTGATCTTGTTGGTTCTTGTTTGTGTTTGTGTTAACCTTAGAGAGAAGATATTGGAATATAGAAGTGAAAGTCAGAGGTTAGATCAATGTAATCGACTTTATGATTCTTCTGTATCCAGTGAAGGGTTCGAGTTTGATGCAAGCCGTATTGTTCAGGTTTTGTGGATTGTTATTACCTTCTACTCTTGCATATTAGCCTTATATTGTTTCAGGTTTGTGTAAAAGTTTTGGTTTTGTGAACTTTGTTTAGGAGCTTGGTGGGATTAATACAGCCATGGATAGACAGAAAGCTGTTTTGCATGAGCTTATGGTGGTTGCTAAAGACATGTTGCGTAATGCAGAGATTGCGGTTCGGTCTTTTATGATGCTACAACCAAGATTCCATCATTCGAAACCAGGAGGTGTTGTTAATGGTGGTTCTCAACCATCTCAGGGACAGGGAGCAAATCCAGCTCCTGCTTCCTCTGGTCAACAACAACAAGCAGTCACTTCGATTGTTCAAGTTTCTGATTTTTACCGTGGGATTCCGAAGAAACCCACAGCTTTTCTACTGCAAACGGTTGCAAGGTTCGAGAAGTATTTAGGCGAGTGCCGCCAATGGGTTGAGGAGCTGGAGCAATTGCTTGCCTTGGATTCTGACAAGTATAATCGACACGCTTCGCTTTTAGAATCTCTTCCTAAAGTCATGTCTAATGTGCATGACTTCTTTGTCCATGTGGCTGCTAAGGTAACTGCCAATGATTCCTTCTACTAAAACCTTCAATGTAGAAACCCCTTCTTAAAGTCTGTGTAACCTTTTTATTGGTTTGAATTTGTTGTGTTCAGGTAGAGAATATTCACCAATATATTGAATCGATGAGAACAGCGTATCTTGCTGACCAGCGCCGTAGAGGAGAATGTAATGATCCGTTTCTTGAGGCTGATCGAAGGGAAACAGCAAAGCAAGAAGCTGCTGCGAAAAGAGTCCATCCGACTCTACATCTACCTACTACTAGTACACAAACCTCAACCCAAGTTGCTGGGTTGATTGCCAGCTCAGCAGCTCCCGGGGCTTTGAATGCTCCACAAACATCTGCAGCTGCTCCAACACCAAACCCTTCTTCAGGAGCTGCCTTTTCGTTATTCAATACACCTGCTTCTGGACCTTCGCCTTCTCTCTTTGCTACGCCGCCTTCTGCTGCTCCTCCCTCCTCTTTTTTTGCACCATCCACAACGCCTCCGGCTTCTACATTTGCTCCTGCTCCATCATTTCTTAGCCAGCCAACTCCATCCATTGGAGCGCCTTCGCCATTTATAGGTAAAAATTCATTGTCTGCTACTTCTCTAGCTCTTGTTTGGTATCATCCAGATTTGTTCTTGTCATAGTCTCAACTTCCGTTATATGTTGTTTTGTTCTCGTCATAATCTCATGTTCTGTTATTTGTTTCTCCTTAGGTGTAACACCGGGATCAGGAGTCAGCTTTGGTTCTCTGTCGTCAGTAAGTACATTTTCGGTTTTTAAACTCTCATTTTAATCAGATAGCTTGGTTCAGTGACCTCATTGGAATATTGTCTGAAGCTAAACTTCATTCTTTTTCATTGTAGAAACCAAGGCCAAAATCTCGAACTGCACGCCGTTAATTAGCCACCCGATACTTCTCACATCCCATTTCTAAGCCTGTTTACACATCAATACATGCCATGAGCTCATCGGCCTTCATGTCCTGATGTTGTGTTTGGTGAAAGCCGAAACAGATCCTCTTACTCTTATGCATTTATTCACAGAAGTGATGATTGAATGTCCTTCAAAGCACAATCTCAGGGCACAAAAGTGTATCTTAGTGACAATAATTGTTGTAGAAATAAGTTTTTTTTAATATATATTTCATTTCAGGAAAATCTTATTCATATAAATTAATCATCCGCACGAAACATCTTGGCTAAAATATGACACTGATGATCTCATTCTCAAGTTTGTTTACGCATATTTATCAGCAATCTTCAGGAGACGGTCACAGAGTTCTAGTGGCTTGGAGAA